TTTTTCATTAGTATTCCTACAGCTCGGGGGGTATCTTCTGAATCACTATGTGATCAATATGGAACTGTGCTTTCTAGGTGTTCTCAGAGCTTAAGAGCAAATCTATAAAAACACTTAATCACTACACCTTCCAGGCTTTTCCTTTCTGGCCCTAGGGACACCAGTCATGAGTGTGCACATTGTCCCACAAATTACAGCCTACAGCTCATCTCCTAAAACCATGTTTGAGCATCTGATTGAGGAATTTTCAAAATCATTTTCAGAGCACTTTCATATCTTCTACAAATGATACAATAACCTAAAAGGGAAAAAAAGACCCAAACAAAAAAGCCCCCTACATATATTCAGGCACGGCTGCTGGTTTTAAATTTACCTCTGAGTTTCTTCTATTCCCACTGACAAGATCAAATGTTTGATATACCTTTCCTAAAACAGGTAAGATTTTTAAGCCTTCATATTCTAGGTTTCTCAAAAAAGCCTGCAACAAGACAAAAAGACCTGCCAGACTTCTTAAAGTATAAAACTAAAAAGCACGTTGGTAATATAGAACAGCATAAAACAAAAACATTGCCCAAGAAAGATTATTTTTTCAGAAACTCTATTGCATTTTAAACTCTAATGTGTTGCCAGGGAGAGCAAAATCAAAGGCAATGGGGACAAGTGGTGAAATTAAAGTTCTGACCTACCAAGAAATTAAAGAACTGACACACTCTAATAAAAAGCTGCAATTTGCATGTTAACAGAAATAGACTACTTGTCAAAGGTAAGAGGAATAATAAAAAACCTAACGACCCCAAACCCCACTATTCTCAATGTTAGCAATATTTCAATGACCTTGAGCCTGGCCTTGGATTTATTAAGTACCAGCTCTGCACAAAAAGGTTCATTTTCCATCCCTGTGTACAATTCAGTATAAATGATGCTGATGCTCCAGCTCCACTGGGCTTTTTTTTTTTTTTTTTAATAGAATGATGTTACACAGAGATCCTCAATCCAATCATGGAAGCCAGCTTTACAAATGGTCTTTTCTCCTTATCCTTCCCCATCCTGCCCATTTTGTTTAAATGCTTCCTTTCTAGCCAGTTAGTTTCTGAACAGTTCAGCACATGTGGTTTAGGAATTACAGGGAGAGCAGGAGAGAGGGACTACAATTATCAATACAATAACTGCCTTCTTACAAATCCAGAGAAAATATAGCCTGAAATGGTTATTCCTGGTTTAGATTTTAGTCACTTAACATTTTTGGGCAACTGTCTCAAGTAAATGACACTCTTCTCCCACCACCCAACAGAAAATACCTTCAGAAACTGAAACAGCTCCTCCACGGCCCTCAGACCTTCTGTGTAGCGTCAGGGTAGCACTGAGACAGCAATCTGGGTGCCAACACTGGGAACACTTGAGTCCCACAAGCACAACGTTACTTTGCCAAGCACTCAGACATACACAGCCACAACAGGAGGAAGTATTGGAAAATCTTCTGCAGCAAGCCAAAACCTCCTCAAATTAGAGGCTGTATGATGACAACTCACTAAACAGCCTTACTCTGGAAGGCAATCTTTGCAGACCAGTAATTTAGGACTCAGCAAAAAGCATTCACGATACAAGGAGTATGTGTAAACCAGTTAGATCTTTCAAAATTCTAGATTATACTAAAAAAAGCTGCCATAGCACATTAGGCCAGTACCGAGAGATGATCCGGACACACACGGTACGTCCCACCTCCCACATCCTACTCGGTGCACGGGGACACGGGTAACTGTTAAATCAACACGCAGCTTTCACAAACGTAACACGTCTGCAAGAGTGAGTACAGACCGAGTCTGCAGAACATTTAAATTATCTCTAATTGCTGCCTACCCTCGGGTGCAGAATTCTCTTGTTTGCAAGTTAAGAACTGCACAGCCTCAGCGGAACTGTTCTTCTCTAGCAGCCCCACAAGTATCTGCATTGATGCGAGAGTGTCGGTTCAGACTTTCTGACAAGCTGATGGCCACGCACCGCGACAAGAACTGCGGGAAGCTTTACACAGCAATACTGTCCACTGTGTGATCGCAGAGCGATCTGAAACCTGACCGTACATCTCGTATCTCTCTCGGGGTATGACTGCCTCCAGCTGTTAAGCTTTTACTTGGCTGTTTAGGGCTTGTTTTTAAAAGAATTTGTCCGGTTGGGTCAATCCCAATTGCCTTTCAGAAAGCAACAGCCATAGCCGCCTTCTGACTAGCACAGCGGTCCGGGCCAGAATTTAGACAAATCTATCACGGCACAAAACCCCGCTCTGCTCTGCTGAAGGGGCTGTTGGTCTGGGGGGATTTTCGTGGTTCGCTACGTCCTCCCCTGGACGATCAGAATCTCGCAAGGGGGCGTGCCCCCGTACGGTGACCGGGCGGGAGGCTGCGCGGATCTCCAACAGCAGCAGCGCGGCCGGCGCCGGCAGCTCCGCGGGGGAGGCGGTGCCCGGCTCCCCCCACCCCGCCGCCGACGGTCCCGGTAGCCCCGCCCCGCGGGGGGTGCGGGCAACGGGCTTCGGGCCTGCCAATCACGGCGAACATCGCCCGGCCCGCCCGGTACCGCCGTGACCTCCGGGGCTGCGGCGGCTCCGCCCCCTCCTCCCCGCCCCACCGCGGCCGGGGAGGCACTTACCGTCCCGGGACGTGCCCATGAGCTGGTCCAGCATGGCGCGCATCTGGGCCTGCGCCGACATCTTGAAGGCGGGGGGGGCCGGCGCGGCCCGGCCGAGTCGCGCCGACAGCGGCCTACAAGGCCCGAGGCGCGGCGGGCGCTCGGCCCTGCCCCTCGCGTCACGGGCGGGGCCGCTCCCCCGCCGCCGCGGAGGGAGGGTGGGAGCGGGCGCTGCCCCCGCCTGGCTTTCCCGGTGGGAAGCGGAGCGGGAAACTCGCTTGGTGCCGGAGCCGGTGCCGCCGCCTGGCGCCCCCACACGCTCCCTCACTCCCGCTCCCTCCCGCGCCCGCCACGCGCGCGCGCCGGCGGGAACGGAAACCAACGCGCACGCGCCTTGCGCTCCTTCGTCCGCTCCGCGACGTCAGCACGGACGGGCCTCGGCGCTCGCCCATTGGCCACGGCTCGCGCCGCTCGGCCAGTGACGCGCCGCGCGGCGAGGCTCCTGATTGGGCCGGCGGGATGGGCCCTTGGGGCGCGCTGATTGGCCATGGAGGCCCGCGTGGCCGGTGTGACGTCACGGTCTCCGGGTCAGCGGCGGCGCCGGGCGGGGCGGGAGCGGCGCGGGGACAATTCCTGGAGACGATTCCTGGGTACAGTCCTGGAGAGACAAGTTACTGTAATACCCCGCTAACTGGAGAATTAAAACTGAGCCTACCGGCATGCGTGGCTGATAATTCAAGTTACAGGGCATCAAGATCCATTAAAAAAACAAAACAAAACAAAAAAGCAACGAATTTTACCCATTCTAACGCCTGCATTTTGTGGCTCTTCCTTTGGCAACCGTCGTGTTGCTATCTAGTGCCCAAAACCCGCCACAAAGATCAGTTCTACTCGCCCACAAGCGCTGTCGTGTTCAAGGTCAGCTCCACAGGAGTGAAAAAGGGCAACACGCAACTCCCCTAACAATAACCCCTCACCCCTGCGGTTAGCTGCATTTCAGGACTTGCAGACAAGATGCTCTTCTGTAACACACTTTAGTTTCTTCTACTCTTTAAAGAGCATCTGTGTCTGGCCAAATGATCGCTTTTTAATTTTTTTTTATTTTTTATTTCCCTTCTCGAGCGATATAGTATAGAATGCAGCAGTTTTCATTGAATAATCCTGAACAAGCAGTGTGTCACAGCCATTCTCAGTGCGTGGTGACATCCCACAACTCTGACCTACTGAAAATAGGTTGATACTTTTCCAGCCGTTATATCGAGGCTTTTCAAAAAAACCACCATTTAACTAGTGAGAGGCTGTAAGAACTGCAAACTGGAATTCTGGTCAACAGAACCCTAAAACTTGTAGGTCACATCTCCTTGCAGTACGTAAGCAGCCCAAATTTTCCTTTTTTTAAGGATCTGTTGTGCCTATCCACTATACTGTAGGGATTAAACCATCCCCAAGTTTTAAATAGAGGGGAAGGAATCAGTAGACTTAGATGAACTGATTCTCTTTGCAACGCTTTTCTGACAGAACACTGTGTTTTCCCTGGCAGTAAAAAAACCCCAACAAACACACACTAATTTTCTTAGAGTTGCTTCAGGCTTCTCCCCAGGTAAACCTCACATTTTTAGCCATTTAAAGTCATTCTTGTTATAGATTTCTTGCACACAATTCGACACTCTCCTGTGAACAGCAACAGCTCCAGGCCTTTTATAAAAGGAAACTCGCTGCTCCGGTTCGTGAGGTGAGTGGGAGAAGGCAGTGAAGGCAGTCCCGTTGCTGTGCCTGCCTGCAGTCAGCTCCCCTCAGCTTTTCTGAGGCTCCGAGGTATAGGGCAGCCCAGGAGGCCGGCAGTTCACAGTCACCTTCTCAGGGACACGAGAAACGTGTAACTCATGAAGAATTCATCTCTCTGAATCACTACTGCCACGGAAAAAACCTCAAAAAACCAACAACAACAAAAAAACCTTTAAGGTAGAAGAGGTTTGTGCTGCTGCAGTGCCGGTCGGAATCCACAGACGCTGCACAGAAGCGACCTTTGTTCTTGGGAGAGCAGGGAATCCCACGTGCACAGAACACGGCTGGAAAGTGCTTCAGGAAACACTGCACCAATTCACCTACCGCTCTCGATTGCCGTGGGGGAACCACGGACCCCGCAGCCCCTCGGACGAGCAGCTGGCAGTGAAGGCTGGCGTGCTTTCCCGCTACGAACAACCTCTCTGTGAGCCCGCGGAGGGTCCCACCACACAGGTCAACCCACGCTCCCCACAACACTCATTCACCAGGACGGGACGGGCGTCAGGGAACCCCGATAAAGGGACAGGGGCTTTCACACCACAACCTAAAACTGACAAAAAGCACCTGCTAAAAACCCAGCCCGCTCCGCTAGCTCTAGGATATTTATTTATTTATTTATCGAGGAACGAACGTTGAGCGCGGCGGTCCCGCTGTCTCAGCCCTTCCCTCCCGGCTGCTGCGGCAGCCTGAAGCCCACCAGCCCGGCGACCTCCTGGGCCGAGCGCTCGCCCCTGCCGTGGTACTCGCGGTGCAGGGCCTCGTGCTCGCGCACGCTGCGCAGCAGGCACAGGTAGGTGGCGGCCTGGAAGTGCAGCTCCTGCTGGGCCCGGCACAGCTTCTCGCTGGTCACCTGCGGGGAGCGGCGGTCAGGGCGGCGCCGAGGCCGGGCCGAGCCCCGGGCGCTGCCGGGGGGGAGGGGAGGGGAAGGCCGCGCGTACCCGGTGCGCGCGGAAGGCGGCGAGCACGTGCCGATAGGCGGGGCTGTCGCGATAGGAGCGGCCGGCGGCGTGGCGCAGCTCGCGCAGCAGCGCGCGCAGGGTGCGCAGCGGGGCTCCCAGGGCCGCCATCTTCCGCGGGCGCGCCGGCCAATCGAGCGCCGCCGCCGGGCCTCGCCCTCGCGCCCCGGCAGTGCGGGCAGTCGAGCGCCGAGCGAACGATCGCCTCCTCCTACTCTCTGCCGCCCTCCCGCGCCGTTGCGATCGGCGCTGGTCAAGTGCCGGGGATCCAGCACCGAGGCCGGGCCGTGCTCGCTCCACGCCTCGTAACCGACCTGTGGTAACGGAGCGGGAGCACCGGGAGCCGTAAGAGAGGCGCATCATACTGCGGGAATCCGGCTTGGGCCGCGGGCGCGTTCCCGCGAGCTCTGGGGTCTCCGGTTTAAAAGGCGCTACGGGTTCCGCTGGAGCCAGAAGGGGACGCCCAAGAAGAAGCCCAAGAGCCGCAGACCCGAGACAGCCAGCGGCTCGCAAACGTCAGGAAAGCGGCGCGGCTCGAATGCAAAAAAAAGAAAGCGCCCACCCCAGATGGGACTCGAACCCACAATCCCTGGCTTAGGAGGCCAATGCCTTATCCATTAGGCCACTGGGGCTGCTACGGGAGGTTGATGTCTGTGTGCTTACTTGTTTGCTGTCTCCGCCCACTTTCCTTTTATGGCGTGTAATGCAGGCCGGTGATTGGGCAGCGCCGCCCGGCGCGGCTGCGCGCGGCCCCCTGGGAGCCGGGGCCGAGGGCCCTCAATGGCGTTGTGCGGCCGCAGCTCGGCAGAACGCGGTGTTCCCACAGGGAAGCGCTCCCTTCCACACCGACCCTTTCGCGCTTTCTAAACGCTGCTCCCTGCACACTGTGTTACCCTTGCTCGGGTGGTTGCCCTGACCGCAGGAACCCCCACCCCCAAACAGAAAAACCCGACAAAAAGCCCCAAGAAGGCCAACCCTTCAAGTCAAACCTTTTGCCATTTTTATTTTTGTGAGAAATCACAGACACGGGGCTAATATGTACATTCCTCTTTATTTAATACAGCACAGACACGTGACACATAGAAAAACAGAAAAGTACACTCATGAAAAAGCCTGTCGCAGTCAGGGACAGGGAACAGCTACGCCAAATTGAGTAAGGCTCCTACTGCAGAACAGGGGTCTGCCGGCAAGGGTGGATCCCAGAGCAAAGTCTGCTGCCAAAAAAAGCTTGTGCTCTTTTCAGGAAAGCAGAAAAGGGCAAGTCCCTTCCGGAACAGGTGAAGGCAGCGTTCCCCGCAAGGTTTGCGGGATACGAACCCCAGGACTGTGTTTGGATCGGAGCACTGATAGAATGAAATGCTCTCCAGTTATTCACACAGAGGGCCAATAGTGCTGACCTCTGAAAACATTGGACTGCTCAGGGATAGGAAACCTGAGTACCTGGAAGGAGTGAAAACGTCAAGTAGTCACACAGAAGAGAGTTAAAATTAGCCTCCCTGACAGGGCTCCGCTAGCCACAACTGGGAATGTGCAGGGAACTAACCAGCTTCCCAACTAACAAAAGACTAACAGCCATTAAACTGACCACAACAATATATGCATTGAAACTGACGCAGGCTTTTGAGGCAGCAGCTTCCTTTTCCTGCTTCAGTTCAGGATGGAGATAAAGCAGGCACCAGTTCCTCTGGCAAAGAGCCTTACACACTTTTAAAAAATTAAAATACAAAAAAGGGAGACAGGTGTATTTACAAAATCCATGGCTGGTACAGTACATCATTTTTAAGACACACTAAATGCTACAATCTTTCAGGTCCTGAGATTATTACAAAAAAAAAAACCAAACCCAAAACAAAAACAAACCCCAACAACTCAAAACTTGTGTTCAGGTCCAGTTTTATAAGGAGAGAGGAAAGAAATCACACATTTAAAACACAGTATCCCTTGAAGTTATTGGAACACATCTCCCTAAAAAATCCAAATGGAAGTGGTGCTTACCACCCAAATGTAGCTGCGTTTGGTTGTTCAGGCTTGTTGTCACCAAGAGGGGAGCATTTCACGGGGCAGTTTCCCTGGAGAGCTCATCAGGTAAGCACAGGGCTGTTGGGATCCTCTCTCCATTGCTAAGCCCTATGATCCAGAGTGTTAAAAGGAGGAAGGTGACCTTGTACAAATTCATGCTGGACTGAGGAAAGCATTACAGGAATCATCAACTCAAACAGGTCTGGCATCTTGTAGTAACTGTGCACTCCTTTGTCTGAAGCTGAGGAATGCAAAGAATTCTAGCTGTGATTTAACATGTGTTAATAACAAAAAAAAAAATTCCTCCAGCTTTTTGTTCTGAGCTCCCCAGTGAAAGGCAGCAAAGTAGTTTCTCAGCCCTTCATTGTCCGGGGGACCACAGCAAGTCAGATAGAATTAAACTGGCTATATCCAAACTTGCTAAAATATATCTGTATATATTAAAAGTTACACCAAACAAAGGATACGGAGGCCAAACTGCTGTTGAGGGGATGTTCCCCACTGCCATTAGCTGTGCAGGGCACTCTTCTTCACTGACCCTCTTTTAATAGGCAGGCCCAAAGGGACTTGTACCCTCACCTGTTTTCTTCCCCCAATGAAGTATTCTGAACATAGAGATTTTGTATCATCAGAAGTTATCATCACAGATGCCCTTTTATTATAAGCACCTGACCTTAAGCTAGAGAATGGCAACTTTTTAAGGATTACTCATTAAATGCTTCTAACTCTCAGTAAAAGACTACAAGAGACAAATCATGTTAACAAGGATACTAGTTCAACTGCTAAAATATAGCACTCCTCAGTAGAATTTTGGGGGGTAAAAATTAATAACAAATTTTGGTGTGTTTTTTTTTTCTTTTTCTTTTTTTTTTTTTTTTAACAGTAGTCCAAAAATAAAATTTCTCCATCTATTTCCAGTACAGATCTTGATAACTATGCAAGAACATGGTACTAATTGCTACATGATGGAATCACCGGCAATAAAACACATACTACAATTCTCACCTCTGAGCTAAATTGTTATTTGTAGTTACATACAACAAGACTAAAAGACCAGTGAGAAATACCTGGGGACTGGGATTTAGTTTTTATTTAGCTGGTAACTCCCCTTGTTTAGAAGCAACTTCATTTCAGTGAGAAATTGATTTAATTCACTTCTGATGCTGGAAAGAAACCTGGGATGTCTCACGAGTTTCTTCCTAAAGCCAATCTGTACATTAAAAAACATTTCTGCAGCTTCTTAATCCAATTTTGAGAGCTGAATATTTTACAAAACTCTCAGACTAAAACCTGTCAAAAGAAGTGATTTTAGCTTCCCTCTCAAGCAACTTCATGACACTTGACACTACGTGTTGCATCAATGAAAGGGTTTCTTTTTTTAAAATACAATTTTTTTTTCACATTAGCAAAAAGTTCTGCATTACAGACATTCAAAAATACTCCATTTTCTTTGGGTAAAATTTCAATATGTGTTAAGAGGGGTAGCTGGGGAAAGGAATGCATGTAACACTGAAACATGTAAATACTTATCTGCATAGTTGATATTAGTGACTACTAATCAAACTAAGGCTTTAGCTGGAAAAAGCTGAGAACACAAAAAAGTTTCTTCCCCTACTGGTGAAATCTGTTAAGTCTCAATGAAGCTCTGTCTACCTCAGCAACTGTTCAGTTTGGCCTATGATAGTGGCATCTTCTGACTGGTTTTGGTTGATTCTCTCCCACTCTTTTTCTCTTGGTACTAGACAAATGCAAATATGACTATTGATAAAATGCATCTGCACACGTTGCTAGGAAGAAACAAAAAACCCTTTTAGTATTGTGCATGATAGGAGCCAAATACAGTGTACACTGCTTGGTTGGGATTACTTCACCATAAATAAAAACTTAGTAGCTAATGGTTATTGTTTAAGCAGGAGATGACAGCAGTGGAAGAGACTGACACACACTTCTAGATACAAAATATGGTGGTGGTTGGGGTAGAACTACAGCTGTCAAAAATGGCTACAAAAGACAAGCCTATATCCTTGACTACTGACAAGATCAGCAGTTTTACTTATGAGTGTGCAAAAACAGTTGCAGGGAATCTTTGTACTTCCCCAGTTTTGGGCCAGTTCCAGGCCACGTTGATCTCTCAGCATAACTCACAGCAGCACCAGGGCTTTCTAGAGCCCCAAAAGGCTATTACAGCAGCAAGGGATCACTGCATCATAGAAAAAGGATGATGAAGCCTCACCAGAAGTTTCCACAAACAAAGCATTCCCCTACACAACATTTATTTTTCCAGTGGCCCAGTAAGCATACTTCTGGCTGCTTATTTTGGCAGTGATTTCTTAAGCAGTAGACAGAGATTTTTACAACAGCTGCATTTGTTAAAGACTGCAACAGTCAGCCATCATCACCAGCTGTATATTCCTCATCTCACAGATCAGCCCAGGATGTGTGTTCGAAAGGAACTGAACAACGTAACTGGCGAATGTGGTAAACTTCACTGAAGTAATTTAACTGATACCCCTAAAACAGATTAAGAAGCACCCTCAAGTACCACCCCAACTGGCTGAGCTACCAGCAACAGTCCTGTCTTTGACTGGCACCAACAGATTGGTAGGAGAAATCCACTTATGGCATAGTTTGTGTAACGGGTTAACTCAAATGTGAAGACAAGCCAAGAACTGAGTTAGGCTATTCTCTGCCACAGGAACATATTCAGTACTGTATTTTCTGTTTTCCACACTGGTTCTCCACCCATGAAGGACTCATCATTCTATTCCAACTCTGTAAAATAAATGCTTCCTTTTCATATTGCAACTCAAAATCAGATCTTCCCTACGGGAAGCACATCACAGAACTAGAACAGTCTAGTGATGCGTTTGCATGTTACCTTAAGTTTAGCACTTGGTCCACAAGTGAAGTGCTAATTTCAGCTATTCATGTTTATAATAATCATAAGTTAGATAGATCCTCAGCACAAAGCTGTTAAAATCACTAGATCATCTATTGCAGATAGCTAATTTTGTCTGAGAAGGAAACAAGCACAGATACTATTATGAGGGTTCATCTGCAGCTAAGAACACATGAACTTACTGTTCATTATAGTAAGAGAAGAAACCACTAATGAAATCTCAACAAATTGAGATGTACAACTTGAAAAGTATGTCATGACAAGTGACTTAGGCAGCATGTGAAGCATAGCTAGCTTTAAACTCAATTAGCAGCTGCACTCTTGCATGTTTTACAGAATTCTTTCTTACATAGGCTGCATGGTGGAAAGTGACAACTTTGGTAAATATGAGAATCCTCGCAGTAACTGCTGATGTGACCAGCTGCACACAAGATTCTTGCAGTTCATCTCAATTCACATACATTGCAACCTGCTATTTTAACTTTATTTACCCCCCCAGCTCCTTGGGGCTGTCAGCCACACATCTCTGCCTCAGACTAAGTGATTGTGTGAAGCAGTCCAGTCATTAATAAGGTTACCAAACAGGGCCCATAATGTTTTACTCATGAC